CAACGCAAAGTTCATCCCCATTTTGGGAGAAATGAATAGTATAACACCATATTTGGTGTAATACTATTCATATCCCCCAAAATGAGGGAATAAATAGGGGAGGGTCGGAGAAGAATGGGGAAGAAATGAGGGAAAAAATGGAGAATGCGAGTGGGTTGGAGATGCTCTAAGGTACTTCCAGTTCTGTCATGCTATTTTGGAAGCCCATAGCTTTCTCATTTTAAGGGCCCGTTTGTTTGCATCTTAATACCACTTAATAAGGGGTATGTCTGAATCGGTAAGATTCAGACCATTTATTTACATCTTATTTTGGGCTCTTAATCTGAATTTTACCACTTACCGATTCAGATTTGCAATCCCATCTGAAATTAAAAAAGACGCCCTAATCCTTTTGTGTTTGGCTCCTTCTCTCACTTCAATCGCGTGGCTTCCATCGCCATCTCCAACCACCGAAGATCTTCCTCCCTATCGTCATCTCCTGTCACCGTCTCAGCCCACCCTATCGCCCCGTCGCAGCCCTCGCAGCCTCGCCATTGTCGACTCCAGCAGCAGCATCGCATCAGGTTCGTTTTCTTCTCTTTTCTCCTCTTTTTTTCTCGTTTTTTTTTCTGATGTTGCTTCAAATCAGATTCGTTTTCTTCTCCTTTTCTCGTTTTCTTCTCTTCCTCCCTATCGCCATCGTTTTTTTTTTCTGATGTTTTTTTCTCGTTTTTTCCCCTGCTGTTCTTCAAAATCCGTTGTTGTCTTTTGTATGTGAAATTTATAATCGGAAATACCTTCATTGAATTCTAAAATTATGTTGATTGCTGAAATATGAGACTTGATTTCTAGTTGCTGAATTGTGATTGATTTGTGCTGTTATGTGAAAATTGTAATGCTGAAATATGTTGTTCATTTGTTGAAATATGTTGCTGATTTGTGATTGATTTGTGTTGTTATGTGCTCATTTGTGCTGATTTTGGTTGTTTATGGTTAGATTTTTGCTGTTAGATGCTAATTATGTGCTGATTTTTGTTGTTTATGCATTAATTTTTGTTGTTAAGTGCTGAATTATATTGTTATGTGCTGATTTGTATTGTTATATGCTGATTTGTTATTGAAATGATACTAGACATGTCACAAAAGAAGCCTAGGATTAGTTGGAAGGTAGAAGCTATTGAAAAAGCTTTTCTGGAAGCATGTTTGGAAGAAATTACAGTTAATGGTAGGGAAGGGGGTGGTTTGAAAGCACTCTCTTGGAGGATTGTAGCAGAAAAATTAGCAAAAGAACATAATTTTTTTGTGGACCAAAAGCAAATGAAGAATCGTTGCGATTACTTAAAGTCAAAGTTTTCAGCTTGGTTGCAGTTAAAAAACAAAATCGGGAATGTTTATAATCCCGTAACCAACACCTTTAATCTTTCAGAAGAAGAATGGCAACTAGAAATGAAGGTATTTTGCATTTTTATAATAAAAAATTATTATTAGGCTTTAATAATCTAATATAATAATAAAAATTATTATTAGGCTTTAATAATCTAATAGGTGCGTTAGATGGAACTCTTGTACATGCAGTCGTGCCTGTTGATCAACAAACTCGCTACAGGAGAAGAGGGAAAGGTGAATGCTTTCAAAATGTTTTAGGAATTTGTGATTTTGATATGATATTCACATTCGTATGGGCCGGTTGGGAGGGTATAACACATGATTCTCGAGTTTTGAAAGAAGTTGCATTTAACCCGACTTCAGGCTTTCCGTTCCCTCCTACAGGTTTGTAATTCTTTTTAAATTTATTGTAAAATATGATTTTAAATTTCTATATATAATACTTCCTTCACTCATGTGTATAGATAAATATTACCTTTGCGATGCTGCATACACCAACACTCGTGGATTTATGACTCCTTACCGCAACACGAGGTATTGGTTAGCCGATTTTCGACGACGACGTGCATTAACTAAGGAAGAAAAATTCAATAATGCACATGCGCAACTCAGAAATGTTATTGAACGTGCTTACGGTGTTTTGAAGGCGAGATTCCCAATCCTAAAGCGAATGACTCCTTTTCCTTTTTCAGTGCAAAGAGATATAGTCATTGCTTGTTTTGCAGTCCACAATTTCATAAGGAAATGCGATATTCATGATGAGTTATTTATGGCATTCGAGGAGAACAATGGTCAAGCACAAGGGAGAGAGAATGATGGCCAAAACGTAGACGATATGGAATGGGGTTCACAAGGCAATGAATACATAGATAATTTGCGTGACCAGATTGCGAATCAATTGGGGCCAAATTAAATTTGTAGGATTTTATTTGGATTTTAGTATGATTTTGTGGATTTAAAAATATTTATGTTTGATTTTGATTTATGCTAAATTTGGACTTTATATGGGGTTTATATTTTTTTAATACGTATTGAAGAAATTTATTAGGCTATTTTCTAAACCAACACTTGAATTCAATAAAAATTAAAACAGAAGGGTAAATTGGTCATTTTAATAATTCAGCACAGCAATTCAGAGGTTTCAACCAAACAGCATGTTAAACATTCAGCTCTTAAAATTTCAGAACCTCTTAGACGTTCAGATCTCTTAATAATTCAGATCTTAAAAATTCAGATCCTGCCAAACAGCCCCTAAGTCTAATTTACCTAATTCTTTTTGCATAGTATTATTCCTTGTGATTTTAGCTACATTTTATCCAACAAGTCTTCTATATATTTAATCGATGTATGCATTCTTCCATTTCTTTACAAAACTTAATATACACTTATTTTATGCTTTATTACTGTTACATACAACCTTAATAAAGGGTTTTAAGCAATTTGTCAATGAATCAATCTCAGTGTCAATGATTAAGCTAATTGCATACAATACTATAACTGATAAAAGTTGAGAATTTCACAGCAATATTGTTTATCATGATTTTCAGATTAAGGGTCTGTTTTGGATGTGTTTTGAGGATTGATTATTGCATCTTAGAATTACAATTATCAATTTTGAGGATTAATAGGATTTGTGGTAGCTTTCATATACTTTTTTTGGTATTGTTTCTAGAATCAATCAAATTGTTTACTGCTCGTTTAGTTGTGTGATCCAATAAGTTTATATGTGAGTTTATGGAGTCACGATAACGTCATTATGTTGTCTGTCTCTTGGAAAGGTCACTTATCAAACTCTTCTATAAAGGTTTCCAATTTGATTATTTTTAAGTTGAAAGTTTAGGTTTTGACTTCATATAAATTATATATAGATATTAAATTTATCCATCCTTAGCTACAGTAAAGTAAAGTGGCTAAGGAATGGCAAAAATGGTCCTTTAACTATAAGTGAACAGCCACTTTTCTTTTGTCTATTTCGGCCCTCTCCTACTTGCAATTGTCTAAATTGGTCCCTTATTTATATTTATATGTTGAATTTCGTCTGCTTTCTGCTTTTCTTTGTAGGAGGTCCTTTTAGGCCATTTTTGAAATTAGAGCTACACACGTGTTAGTCCTGTATGCCTTTCACCGCCAATCAAATTAAGATCGGTGTCATTCATCTTCACCGCCTATCTCTCACTTACTTTACTTTGCTCTCACATTTTACTTCCCGTTGTTTCCACCACCGCTCACTTTATCCTCCCCAAATCGAGTCTCCTCCCTTCTTCTACCTTCTGCTACCTCCACCTTCCACAAATCTTCTCCCTTCCACCGACTTTGTGCCTCCCCTTCGTCTCAAAAATCATTCCCAGCCTCTCCACCGCCGTCTCCCACTGTTCCACATCCCGTCTTCCAGCGAGTAAGAGCCTTGCATCGATGTACACCTGGTGATATAACCCCACCTTCGTTCTGGTCATTCTGACATCGATACACACGCGTTTGATTTTCCAATTTTGTTATACAGATTGCCATCGCCTCGACTCCTTTCATCTTCTTCCGTCTCACCTTTTTTTTTCTCTCACTTTGCCTATCGTTCTCAACGGCTTCCCTTTGGAATCGATGACCACCGCCTACATCCTCCTTACATCACCATGGCTCCATCGGCAAAAATCATCAATCGCATTCGCCTCCACGTTCACCCCCAAAACCTGAACCACCGGTCATCTCTGGCGTTACCCCACCCGCTGCTAAGAGAACCCTCCGACGAGACCTCTCAAAACCCTAACCTCAGCTTCGTCATGACCATCGTCATCTTCAAAGGGCACATTATCTCTTGCAAAGGAAGCTATCGGCCCTCATAACACACCTCCTTTGATTTCTTCACTCCATTTACCATATGGTGTCCTTCCTCTTATCATCTGCTTCAGCAACAAATCGAAACCCAAAATAATCCCAATAACCTTCCAAAAAAACCAGCAGTCGACAGCTACATCACTCTATATGAGCCCTAATTTCTTCACTTTTTTGGATTTCAGAATTGAATAAAAGCAATATATGCACACGAGTTTTCAGGTTAATTTAGAATCCTCTGTTCTATTTTTCTTTGTTTTGAACTATCTGGGTATATCAATCCACTTCCTCTTCTGGTCATCGTTTTCCTTTTTCTGGGATTTGTCGGTTCACTGCTTCTTTGGGTGAATCACTTCTTTTGGGTAAACAAGTTATCAAGACGCCGATCCCTTCTACCCTTCAGGTACTTACTTTTCTGTAGTTCCTTCTATTCCTATGTGCAACCTCAAATTGGTATGCTAGAAGATTACAAGAACGAACTGCAGGTAAGTTAACTGGTCTATTATAATTTTTCACTTTTTCCCCTTATATTTGTTCCAGACAAACTCTATTTTCATTCAATTTTAGGTTTTGATTGTTTGTTTTTCATGTTTTACCCTAATTTCAGGTGCAAATAATCATGACGAAGGTATCGCGAAGCAATTGATTCCACCTCGCCTCCGTTAACACATGGCCGAAATCTTATCGATTTTTGTAAAGATTACATAAATAAAACAAAAACTAATTTGTAGTTATGAAATGTCATTTCACTCATCAGTGAAAGAAAATTCAACACCCTTCTCCTATGGAATGCAAATCAACCCATACCCATGAGAAAGAATCACATTCCATTCCATAAAGCTACTCTATTCCATTCCCTCTGTTTTCAGGTTTCCTCTGGACAAATTGTTGTCATTGAAACGGTTGCTCTTAGCTGTATTCATTCTGAAAGTGTCTTAAAAGGTAAGTAACCAACTCAAATTTCTCAAAATTATTCAGAAAGTGTCTTAAAAGGTAAGCAACCAACTCAAATTTCTCAAAATTATCAATAATTACTTCTAAATTTTTTCACATTTTCCATAGGTTTCTCTACCAACGGATGTGGCATGTTTCATATAACTTTGTAGATTTTGATTTTTGTCAGATTTGACAAGATAATTTCAAAAGAGATCCCTTCTTCAATCGTGTATGAGGATGAAAAAGTTATTTCTTTTCGTGATATTAATCCTCAAGCCCCTGCTCATGTTTTAGTAATCCCAAAGCTCAGAGATCGATTAACAGAGCTTGGAAAGTTAAATTACAGTTATACTCCCTGTGCTTTGCTGATTGTACACTTAAGGTTATGGTTCCTGAATTTTTTAACCTTTCTCATCCCTAAAAGGTCTTTTTGTCATGCTTTTAGGTCATGAAATGGTTGCTGTAAATTTTAAAATGCATATAGGTTTTTTCTATAATGTCATAAATTGATAACTAATTATTTGTTCTTTTACAAAACACAATTGTTTTAAGAAAATTAGTATGATAATGTAAGCAACTGATTTTAGGTTTTGATTGTTTGTACAAGGATGAAAAAGTTCTTTCTTTTCGTGATATTAATCCTCAAGCCCTTGCTTATGTTTTAGTAATCCCAAAGCTCAGAGATCGATTAACAGAGCTTGGAAAGTTAAATTACAGTTATACTCCCTGTGCTTTGCTGATTGTACACTTAAGGTTATGGTTCCTGAATTTTTTAACCTTTCTCATCCCTAAAAAGTCTTTTTGTCATGCTTTTAGGTCATGAAATGGTTGCTGTAAATTTTAAAATGCATATAGTTTTTTTCTATAATGTCATAAATTGATAACTAATTATTTGTTCTTTTACAAAACACAATTGTTTTAAGAAAATTAGTATGATAATGTAAGCAACTGAAACCTTTTTCTTACAAAATATAAAAAAATACGGGTACTTTGTGATTAAAACGTTCCATTTGCTTACCTTACAATAATAAAAAAATGAAATCAATAAGAATAGTAAAATCGATAAGAAATGTAAAAGTAAGGGCAAGATAGTCACTTTATTAATTTTCTCTTTGCTATCATCAAGGTTGAAACACGACACGAAGACATATTAGGGCATCTTCTTCACGCATCAAAATAGTAGCAGAAAAAGAAGGAATCATTGATGGATTTCGTGTAGTCATCAATAGTGGTGCTACTGCATGTAAGTTGTAAAGTCTGTTTTATTGAATAATAAAAACTTTGTTTGTTTGTAGATATGATTATAGCATCTTATTTTCACTGAAGACCTATAGATAGTTGAATATCTAAAAGTATGCATATCAGGTGTTCGAGGAAATGACTCAAAGAAATACTTTTATGAATGATCATACACGGGCATCTTTTTGCTTCTCTTAATTGTTTGACTACAAGTTTGTCTATTAATTTACTTTTATATCCCTGTATAAGTTGTTGCTGCAATTACCAACATAAGATTTTCTATTTCTTTTTTTTTTCCTTTCATACATAATCAAGTCCAATGCTTCCTTATTTATCACATAACCAACTTAATGTTGAAACTTACAACCTATTGCAATTACGGAAATACTTAGACACTATCAGGGGTATTGATAAAGAGCAAGTGTTGAAAGCAAGAACTGTGTTTTCGGTTGGTTTCTTTTAGCAACTTTTGCTCCACATGTGGGATTGATTTTCGTTTCCAGTTTATCTCAAATTTTTACGACTACAATGGATGGCCTGATTATGATTTTTTTTTCCATATTTTCAGGTTTATTGGATGCCACTTAAAGGAGCTAAATATGTCTTTTGTATCTATTACAAAACAATTTTGCATAATCTTTTAAAGGTACAACCTCTTGGATACCTTTGTGATGTTTGGTGCTTATCAATCGATCTGGACATGATTTTGTTTATCTGTAGGTTGATTGGATGGCACTTGAAGGAGGTGAATTAATTTTTTGCATCTATTTTAGAACCACTGGCTTAATCTTTTAAAGGTACAAAGTGTAACCCACAATTCAACAAATGGGATAAAAGGGCATAATGGTTATTTTGGTGATCACTGCATTAGCTGTTTTTTTTCCATTTACAACTGTTTACTGCAATAGTTTATTTCATTAAAATCTGTTCTTCGTTTTTTTTTTTAATATACCAATGTATGTATGGATATGGTAGCTTCTACCCGTTATAGTCCTACTTGGAGGCTTGCTGGAGCTCCTACTGTCTTTTTCATACATTTGATTTGGTCGATTGTATTCAAGGAGAACAATGCAAAGCACGCTAAACTTAATTAATCAGCCCCCCATGATTGTTGCAGTGCGCCAAAGAACAAGGTCCTTTTCCACCATGGTTATAGCTTATAACTCATTTTGGGACAAATAGTGTATAATTTTGCAAAATGTGTTTTAGAAATTTGAAATTTTAGTGATTTATTTTTGATGATTTTGAGCGATTGCTTCCAACTCCCGCAAAGCGGGGGACTCTTCTCTAGTTTTGATTAAAAAAATGTAAAACATAGATAAAGAGAAATTGAAGAAAAAAAAAACAAAAAGACCAAATACTATTTACTTGAACCCATATGTGCCGTAGCTACACAATTTAACGGCTAACAAAACCCAAACGGAGTAATTGAGGTTTAAATAGAAAAGCAAAAAGATAATCTTAATAGGGTAGAAATGTAAATTGATGGTAAGTAAAAGGATGGAATTTGTAATTAATCACATAACGAAAACCAGCAGAAGAGATAAAACTTATGCTAGAATTCATGGAATGTCACAATCGCAAACGTTTTTAATTTTAAAACGTATTGATTCTTCCAGTTATGGCATCATTACGTGTTTATATAAACTTTCAAAAAACTAAACACATTATATATTCAATTATAAAAATATTAACGGCAAACATTTCATTCATAAATCATAAGAATTATATTAGCTTGTATTCAACTAAAAGGATTTTGGTATTAGTTATTTAACTCGATAAACATTTTTTTGAATAAGTGCTTATCATCATTACAAAAAAAATTATTAAAAAATACTTAGATTAGCCTATGTGATAGAAAAAAATAAAAGTCAATAAGCTATATTTTTTTAAAAAAATAAAGGATTTCATATTATTTCAATGAATAAACAACAAAATATCATATTCGTCCTATCTAGTATCTAAATAAACTTCCAAAATATCATATTTGTCTAAAAAAATTAAGCATTTTTAAACCTTTTTTAATCAATTTTTGTTAACTAAAGTCATCATTTTAACTATGCTAACTTGCTAAGTACTCCAATCTAATTTGTTATTGCTTCCAACACATGTCTTCATAGTTTTTTCTATCTGTGAATCTATGTGTTTTAATTTGTTTTTAAGGCCATGTTATATGGTCTTAACAAGCAGATTACCATTCAATTTATTGAATTCTTGATACCATTTTGGTGTACAGATGTTAGAGCAATTTAAACAGGAACTATCATTAATTGGAAAAGTTCCTCCAGATGTTTGAGTTTTCTGGAAGTTGGTGGAAGTTGGCAGAAAGATGCTTCGAATACCAAAACTCTTTCTTACGAAGGCATGTTTATTTCATTATATACACAGTTCACATACTACTTTCCGATCATGTACAGAAAATTGTTCCATCTTCGTGAGATCCTTTGCACCATGTGAATCTGAAGTTGTACATTAATTTGTAGTATTATTTTAGGGATTTTGTTGGTTATAAAAACAATTATGAACGAGTCTATTTGGGTAAATATGATTATGAATTGTTATTTGGGTAAATATGATATTTTGAAAGTTTGTGAAGAATATAGATGATATTTAAAAGTTAGCTTTATAAAAAGGCATAATAGTCAATTGACAAAATTAAGGATTTAAAATGATTAAAATTGTTAAAAAATGGATTTTTGGACAAATGATATTTTGAAAGTGTATTTAGGGTATATATAATATTTATATATTAGGTAGGGCAAATATGATATTTTGTTTCTTTATTTAACACATATATGAAATTTTCCCTTTAATTTTTTTTTTGAATTAGCTTCTATATATATTTAAAATAACCCAATAACCAAAAGGGATATGCTTACATATTTAGAACTATTTAACATATAATATTTTATACTTAATCATTTTTTTTGACAATTGTTAAAAATATATACTATAACTTTTTTTACAATATTTATAACTTTTTTAATTAAACCATGATAATATTATAAATTTTACATTCATACCAAATGAAAATAATTCCTAAAAAAATATGTAATGTAATATTACATCCGTCCCCATGATTCCATATCTCATGCAAATTATATATCTTATCGCTTCCATATATGAAACATTATAGTCCGTACGACGTATACTTGAAGCTGGTCATTCTTCACGAGTTTCTTTATTAGTACCACCTTATGTCCCTACATCATTGGGATTGTAGAACTTTTGTTGTGCTTTGGTAAATGTTTCATCAAACCTACTATCCCTTCTCAAATAGTTATGGATCGATTCTATCACAATATTTACTTGGTGCGTGTAAAACTAATTAACATGTATATCTCTCAATGATGTCCACCTACCTTTTACACTCCAAAAATTTGTTGATAGTTAAATGTCTCTTTCGGTCCTTTGCAAGCACGCATAACAACAATTTGTCAATGTCAAAAATCTGGTATATGATAACAAATGTTTGTACCGTTGTATGGAGTAAGATACCTTCCACTATTTTGGTATGAAACATCGACAACGTAATATTTATTTGTAATGACAAATGAAACAATCATTTATGGTACCCATCTCATCTGGCATCAAGCGGTATGTATAACAAAAAACTTGCATTACTAAAAAAATATATACTAACCACCCGTTGGATGTGAAAATTAAAGTTTCAGGTTTGTATAAGGCTTCATCGAAAATTCTTGTGTGATGTGCGGCACCCCTCTCATCTGGTTCATACAGATGTAAAACACATGTTAAAATCACAAACCGTCATTATACTTTGTGTAGCATATTCCTTCAACCATTGTACTTCGCTTCCCCACGCTCTTGAACTGATGCCCTCACGTGTGTCTCATCGATAGCGTCAATACGATCGTACAAATACAACATATCATAATTAATTCATTTATTAAAGTTTAACTACCATAAAAGTACATGGAACATTGGATAATGTCGATGATTATTTAATATATTCATGTACATCTTCATTATACTTAGCGATTGGCCAGATGTTGTCACTACTCAACTTAAGCACGACTTTCAAAACTATACAGAGCTGCCTAGGAATTGTTTCCTCGGGATGACCAAAAAATCTTGCACGAACCTATATGTACATCCATGAGTAAAGTCATCAAGAAGATCCAACCAATTCCTCAATAGATATATTATGTGTTTGTTTAAACCCGTAATTTCTAGCAAGATCTATACATAACTTTCTAAATATTGGGACGTATAGTCTAAATATTTCATTACGTCTACTATGGCTATTTATTACTTTATGAATAAACATGTTCCCTATGCGAGACAATGTGTGACAAGGCGCACATGTACTATGTTAGTTATGAGCTATCATTATCCTTTTCGCGACTGATCCACATAACTTTTTAAATTCTATTCATCTTGTCATAAGATAAAGACTTTGTCAAAATTAGGGACTCAAATTTAGAGATATACAAGATGTAGTATGCTCCTTTTGTTTCGAGATTGCGTTGTCGTTGTCGTTGGAGATTAGACTATGACTCGGTTCCAATTCCAAAGCGATAGCAGTCGAAATGATGTTAACTTGAAGAGAATATGGAGGGCGAAAGAGATAGTGATGAAATCAATTTAGGTGACGATGAGTCTCTTTTCTGTAGTTTCCCTACAAGGAAGAAGCATAAGGATATTGCCAATAGTCGTTCGCCCGAGGATAAAACTATCTTTTGAGGGAAAAACTAGATGTTTTAGCGGATGTCCTATCATCAAGAAGCACACAGACTTTTCCACCAATCAATCCCTCTGCAACAATACTAGTTTTCATGAAGATTGTGATCTCTTTTCCAAGTTTCGAAGAAGGCTTGAGAATGTGTTCACAAGCATTACACGTCTTCATTAAAAAGCAAAATCGTGAAGCTTTTATGTTTCCAGCGACTCACGAAGTGAATATGGAGTTCCTTAAGTTAGTTATGGAAGAATGATTTGCCGTCTTATGTATTATGGAATAATGATTTGTCGTTTTATATGTTACTGCCATGCCATATGTGTTATGTGTTTATCTATTTGACATTATATACTTTGGCATTTTATATTTGTATTATGTTGACATTATGTTCGTTACATTTTATATTTGTATTGTGTAGGATAGATAGTGATGATTGTGATTCATATAACGGTAACGAAGAAAATTAGGTAGACGAGGATATAGAATTTTAAAAGTTATGTGGATCGGCTGTAAAGAGGATAATAATAGTCCGTAACTCTCATCACACATATACGCCTAGTCACACGTCGTCTCGTACATAAAACATGTTCATTAATGAAAAATTAAATGGCCATAATAGACATTATAAATGTTTAGACTGTACGTCCAATATTTAGAAAGTTATACACATATCTCGCTAGAAATTACAGGTTGAAACAAACACATAATGTAGCTATCAAGTAGTCGGTAGAAATCTTCTTGATGACGTTAGCTCATGGATGTACAAATAAATTAATGCCAAAAGCTTTTAATTATCCGAGGAAACGATTCATAGACATTTTCATACCGTTTTGAAAATCGTGTTTAAGTTAAATAGCAACACCATCAAGCCAACAGCTAACTATAATGAAGATGTACCTAAATATATATTAAATAATCTTCTATACTATCTAATGTTCTAGGTATTTTGATAGTAGTCGAACTTTAATAAATAAATTAATTATGATATCTTATATTTGTAGGATCACATTAACGTTATTGATACGACACATGTGAAAGCATCGGTTCGACACGACAAATAGTATAAAGCGAAGTACATTGGTCGAAAAAGATACTACACAAAATATAAAAATTGTTTTGTGATTTTAACATGTGTTTTACATTTGTATGGGCCGGATGGGAGGGAACCGCACATGACACAAGAATTTTCAATGAAGTCATATAGAGACATGAACTTCAATTTCCACGTTCAACGGGTGGTTAGTATAACTTTTTAGTAGTGCAAGTTTTATACTTTTCATACATTTTGAAACAAATAACAAATGGTTCTTTTATTCGTCATTACAGATTACATTGCCGACGCCAGATACCCAAATAGTAAGGGTATCTTGCTCCATACAAAGATACAAACATTCATTATCATATACCGGATTTTCAATATGGACAAATTATTGTTATACGTACTCCTAGGAGACCGAAACAGACATTTAACTATTAGCATTTGTCATTGAGAAATATCATCTAACAAACTTTTAGAATGTAGAAAGTTAGGTAGGAATTATTGAGAGATGCATGCTAATTCTATGTAAAAGCACCAAGTATTTTGTGGTAGCATCGATGGCGATCCATAACTATATTATATTAGAAGGGTGATAGATTTGATGAAACATTCGACAAGGTACAACAAGATTCCTACAACCCGAACGATGTAGGTATATAAGATGATACTAATAATGAAGCTAATGAGAAGGTCCAAGTATACTTCGTACAAACCATAATGATTTGTATATGGAAACGATACAAGCTATTATTACATGAGATATGAATTGTGAGGAAGAATGTAATATGACATAACGTGTTATTTTTTTTAGAAATTATTTACAATTTGTATTTTCACGTATTATTTTTAGGTATTATTTACAATTTATATTTTCCTTTTGTATAAATGTAATTTCTAATATTATCATGCTCTAACCACAATATTATAAATTTTGTAAAAAAAATTATATTATGTAGATTTAATATTTGTCAAATTTTTGAAATGATTAGTTATAAAATATTATATGCAAAAATACGTAATAGTTCTAAATATGTAAGGGCGGACCGACTCCACAAGATTTTGGAGCGGGCCAACCGGCCAAAGTGGTACCACCGACTACACCATCTCGAGTCAAGGTGGAACTGCCAAAAGGGTGTTTCAACGGGTAAACTAATTCGTTCCACCATTTCTAGTTCACGCTTTGGTTAGTTGTATTTCATGCATAAAATTTTGTATCAAAATAGTTTTACATGTTTTTAATTAGTTTTGTATATTTTTAATATTTGGTAAACTAGTTTTGTATGATTTTAATTAGTTTGTATTTATTTTAAAATTAAAAAATATATGGGTTAAAAGGGATGAAAGTGATGGATTTCTATGTGTTATGTGTTATGAGATGTTAGCGGTGAAAGTGAAAGGAAAGAGAAAAGTTGATGTGGCAATGGTGCGTGCAGCAAATGGGTTGGGAGGGATAGACTCCCTCCACCCTAACACCATCTCCAACCTTTAACACTAAAACCAATAATTATAATGTAAAAGATAGTGTTAACACTAAACCTCTCCAGTCTGCAACCCATTACACTATAATCAACAACACTAAAAAAAATATTCTAGGTATATTCTATTTTATCCAAATTTTATAGTGTAAAAGATAGTGTTGATGAATAGTATAACATTATATTTAGTGTTACACTATTCACCAATACTATATATAGTGTTAGGTTTAGTGTGGGGTTGGAGGATTTTATTGTAGATTTTAGTGTAAAAGTGAGTTTAGTGTAGAGTATAGTGTAAAAGTGAGTTTAGTGTAGAGTATAGTGTGGGTTTGGAGATGCCTAAGCATGTCATTTTTGGTCATTGTACATATAAAAGTTAATCCAAACACTTTTAAAAAAAATGGCTTATTAACTTATAACTATAAAGCTTATTGTCTTTTTAAAAAAGACAATAAGTCAATAAGCACTTTTAATAAGCAATTTGAAGCACCCCCTAGGACTAATACAACAATATACCCTTATAAAAATCTCTTCTTCCCCTTAAAGCTTCTTTTAAATTAAACAAAAATAATATATAATTAATAACAATTATATATTTGAATATATATATATATATATATATATATATATATATATATATATTATAAATGCATAACATGAATATCAATTTTACAGTTTGATTTCAACTGTAAACAGCTAACATACAAACAACAGTTGCAGAGTTACTTACAGTAACAGATATGTTTACTACACCTTTATCCGGATCACAAATGAACCTGTTCATCAATGTATACAAAATATAATCTCATCAGTTCATGAAAAAAGTTCTTTGATTTCATGTTTATTTGACCAAAATCTTGAGTAAGAATCAGATGAAAACTTACAAGCAGGGAGGCTGGAAATATCTGCAGAAACAGCACAAGAAATGCCCAAATTTGAAAGAGCTCCCCTTATAATTCCACAAGGGAAATACAGATGCATGCTACTTGCTTCTGCTGCTTTGTTTCCAATTCCAGGTTCTTGAGTTGAACCAGAATTCTCAGTTGAAGACATGCGTGAAACCCATGCAAATTTATCATCTTGCAAAACAAATGTACCCTAGAAGAATATGCATGAATTCATTATATCAAAATGTCATTCAATCTAGCAATCTTTTAATTGTTGTATGATCTGGATTATGGAGTGTGGAAGTGGAACTTACTCTATGATTCGTCTTTAGATTGTCTATCTGTTTCTTGAAGAGTTCAGACCAGAAATCTTTACAGATGAACTTGATTGCCTCCAGGTGATCACTGAAACGTGGTCGCTCCATTGTGTACCTGACAAAAAGATAAAATCAGTAACAGCTTGAATCGGATGTCTCTGGTTTTGGGGGCAATGGAGTAATGAAATCATATATATTGCAAATCACGAATTCCATTTGACAAAACTCGATGAGTAATCCGATCGGAGAATTACAATCTCTAGCAACATAATTATTCAGCTAAGAAATCGATTAGGTGATGAATCTCTAGATCTGGATAAATAAGAGCTAACAGATCTGGATCCTGAGTATCCTAGCAATAAAATTGAAAAACGATAATGTACATTACTACATTTACGATTCGATGATTGAAATTTAAAGATCCAGATGAACAAATGCGATTCTAGGGCTAAAAGCCCTAATACGATCCAATGAAAAAAACTAGAATCGATTGAACAAAACAACTGACATTTCAGATTAATTCGAGGAAAGCAATTAGCTTGTGCGATATGACATGTATACCTTTCAGAGAGCTGGTGGCCAACTTGGTAGCCGATGGCTTCGATTCTCCGAGCAGCGAGCTCCGGCTTACTAACGTATAGCACATTGCAATACGAAGAAACAATCTCTGTAAGCAAACTATCCATACAGCTTTCCGATACTTCTCTTGCCATTTCTGTTTCTGTGTAGGTTGGCTTGGCTCTGCGTGGTGGAGATGATCGATGTCTCGTTTCTCCGGCGATTTGATGATCCTTGGCGTTAGTATTTCATTGTAATTTATGCTTGACGGATTGTACTTTTCTTTGTGCCCAAAAGGGCGAAACTTCTAAAGTCCATTCACTATTGGGCCATCTACTTATCCGGCCTATTAATAATAATCATTACTCTTTAAGTGGAACAAGGCCCATAAAACTCTTTCATCTCAAAATTTTAAGGATACTAATATGTTATTGGTAAGGGTGTGCGCGGTGCGGTTTAGAGCCAAAACCGCAAACCGCACCGCATATGCGGTTTGAGTTATTTAGAAACCGCAAACCGCACCGCATATGCGGTTTGAGTTATTTAGAAACCGCAAATCGCACCGTGAACGTTTAAAACTGCATTATGCGGTGCGGTTTGGTGCGGACGGTTTAAATGCGGTTTGACTAATTATTTACTTTAAATTTAATGATAATACTATCATTGTCATCACTAACGGCTCACTAAGTGGTCATTAAGAAATTTGGTGGTCAAAGAATTGTGGTCATTAACTACTTATGAATATACATAAGTTAAGAAAACATAGTGACCATAAAATAATGGTCACTGAATTTTAATTGAAAATGAGTTTGAGACAAAAAAAAAATATGGTAACTGCGTTAGATGATGGATTAATTAAGATTACATTTCAAAAACTTAAGATAATATCACTAATTTAGGATATGTCAAAATATTTTCGAATATATATATATATATATATATATATATATATATATAATATATATAATCATTATATGATTTTATCAATGTGGTGCGGTTTAAACCGCAATTTTGTAATCGTAAACCGCAAACCGCACCGCATAATGCGGTTTAACAAAAATACAAACTGCAAAGCCCACCGCGAGTGTTTTAAACCGCGTTATGCGGTGCGGTTTGGTGCGGTGCGGGCGGTTTATGCGGTTTGTGCGGTTTATTGCACACCCCTAACTAATAAGACCAAAAGTGAATATACAGTTATTAAATATATAAGTTTAGGTATTAAATCCATTAAATTATCTTATTTTATTAAATATATAAGTTTAGATATCAAATCCACTAAACTATCTTATTTTATATGATAATCAACAACCCTCATCATAATCATGTATCATAAAAATTCTTCAATTCCTTTAATCCAATATAAGATTTATTTATGTTTTTTTTTATTCATATAACTCAGTTCTCTCTTACAAGAATCATCTTTGTGAAAATCAAGGAAGAAATTTTAAACATGATAGAAGAAAATGGGGAATTTTAGGTTACATGATGTTTTACATTATTTGATTTTAATTCAATTTTTTTTTTACTTCATACTAGTTTACTAGATTTAATACCTGAGCTTATATTCTTAACATCAATATATTCATTTTTTTTCCTATTAATAAAGTATAAGTCACCACAATACATAGAAAGTTTTGTTGTGGAAGCGATTTTTAATTATATTTTATTTAACAAAATTATATTTTATGGATTTCTAATATAAACTTACAATGCATTGACTCTTATTTGAGTGGTTTAATAACGACCCATTAAATGAAAATGACATAAATACCCCTATACTTGATTTACAAAAGAAATCAACATTTGAATTACTCCCTTAGCCTTTTCACTTCTTGGGTTAAACAAATAAAAACAATGATCTTCTCCTTCATTCTCCACAAACTCCACACTTCCTTCCCATTTACTCTTCTTTAATGTCTCCATATAATCTATCCCTCTTTGTTTCAAAAAATCCTTTTCGGCAACCATTATGAACACCCTCGAGCAACCCATTTTCTCAAGATCCGGATCTGAACGTGGGTTGAGTTTCGGGTCATCATCCGACGAAGAACTACCCGGATACAAATACTGTATCATCTTGTCGGGTTCTTTCTCAGAGAAATACGGATGCAATGCGATCAAACCCTGGATATCCAAACCGGGTTTACTGACTCCGGCTTGAACCGTAACAAAATGGGCCAAGTTCGCCCCAGCACTCTCACCCACCAAGAAAACCCGACTTGTATCCACGTAATCGTTGATCCACGGGTCGGGTCCTGACCCGGTTGAATGAGCGGCGATCCACTGGAATGCAGCCCAGCAGTCATGGTAGGCGGTGGGTAGAGGGTTTTCCGGGGCAAGCCTGTAACCAACGGCGATGGCGACAGCTGGGGTTTGGGAGACTAGCGGCGTGAGGAAGCTGTGAGTCACGATGTTCACCGGTGATCCGATGCAAAATCCGCCGCCGTGGATGTAGATGATGAGCGGAAGCTTTTTTGGTGGATCTTGAGGGTTGAGTTTTGGGAGAAAGATACGGGATTTGGTTTCGTGGTCAGATGAGATTACTACGTCTTTGGACTGAACACCGGTGATGGGGTCGGTTGATGGTGGGAGGCGGGGGGTGGTGATCAGGCGTTCGATCCGGCCGTCGTTGTATACTTGTAGAAAAGGTGGGAAATCATGGAGGAGTTCTGGTGATGATGCCATTGAAGAAATTATGGAAGATTTTGGGGGATGAAATAGAAATAGAAATAGAAATAGAAATAGAAACAGAAATAGTGAGGGAAGTAGATGGGTTAAGTGAGGCAAAATTGAATGCTGATTAAAGTGGTTGGTAAGTTGTTACATTTATGTGGGTAGAAGTTTTGGTTCAACGTGTATGAAATAAGATTCCCGAAAATTGGTAATATGTTTGATTTTTACTAGAGAAAATTAGAAAATTGGAGAAATAACCAAAAAGAGGTTGGTTTGAAGAAAATAATCAAGGAAAAACATATTTTAGAAAAGACAAAACTACAAAAATGATCCCTGTGGTTTTCAAAAATATCAAGTTTAGTCTCTAAGTTCAAAAAACCTCACAGATGGTCCTTATGGTTTCAAAACTTTTAACACATAGTCCTTTTCGTTAACTCCGTTAGCTTTTGGCCGTTAAGTGAATGATATTTCTGTCATTTCACTGTCATAGGGACCATTTATGAATATTTGTCTTATTTAAAAAAAAACTAATTATTTAATATTAAAGGCTGTCTCTCTCTCTCTCTCTCTCTCTCTCTCTCTGGGTGCTTGTTTCAGCAAGAACACCAAAACCACCGCTCTTAAGCCTGCTTCCCCGCAATCCGACCTCAAATCGAGCCCTCAACAACCACAGAACATGAAGAATGATCAACAGGTTTTGAAGAAGGAAATTTTCGTCATCAAACACCAAATCAACCATGAACTCAAAAGACACGACGATGAAGACGACCCCAATGCGTTAAACCCTAGTTCTACCGCTGGCGACGCTCAATCTCAGAGTTTAGGAGGAGCCGGAGTAATTCCTCCGGATCTCAAAACCCTAATCGCAGAAGAAGATACTCTCGTTCCAAGAGGAGCTTCGATTCCGATTTGGACACCAGTTTGAAGAATGACGATGGTGATGATGATAAGACTGAAAACAATGAGGCACTGCACAACCACCACCACCGGCACAGGGAGGAGGTTAGGGTTTCGTCTCCTTCTAGAATGCGACTCCACAGGTCTTGCAGTAAAGAAAGAAGAATAAGTATATCCCCTAGTAGGAGGTCTGAGTCACCTTTTCGTAGTCTAAACATCGGGGCGACGGACGTCGGCAGTAGCAATAGGCCGGCGAAGATGGTTTCAGTTCCGGTAACTAACAAGAGCAACAATGGTGGTGCCGAACAACCAAATACCAGTACAGTGAAGAGGATTCACGTGAAGCGAAATGTATCTCCGGCGAGGACACACCTTCAGGTTTTCACCAACAACCCAAGCCAAGAGCAAATCGACAGAGGGGAGACTGATCCTTTGCGTCATAGAAGGAAATCGTTAGCAGAGATTGACAACAACGCCGGTAGAACTCCACAGTCCAGTAACCCAAAAATGGCTGCGATGGTTCCTCCAAGAACCCGAAGGTTATCTCGTGATCTAGACATGAATACAGAAACGATATCTGATCCTACTCCACCATCTTACGCTAGTTTTCTCTCTTCTTTGAAAGAAATCATGGACTATGATTGATGGTGGTGACAGGGTAGAAGTAAGGTGAAAGGAACGAAAATGGAGGTAGGAGATACTTATTTTACTGTTGAACAATCAAAATAAAGGGGTTGCTGAAGGGAAGGGATGACGGTGGATCTGTGTGTTTTGATCGGAGTAGAGGCATGAAATCACTTACCTTGGCCGGTGTCACCTGGTTGTGATGATGGTAGAAGGAGCAGATAACAACTTCGATTCTAATGGAGAAGGTGGTTCGATGTTTTTGAGAGAGAGAGAGAGAGAGAGAGAGAGAGATGAGAAAGAGAGGGTGGGACCCTTTAATATTAAATAATTAGTTTTTTTTTAAATAAGACAAATCTTCATAAATGGTCCCTGTGGCAGTGAAATGACAGAAATACCCTTCACTTAACGGCCAAAAGCTAACAGAGTTAACGAAAAGGACTATTTGTTAAAAGTTTTGAAACCACAGGGACCATCTGTGAGGTTTTTTGAACTTAGGGACTAAACTTGATATTTTTGAAAACCACAGGGACCATTTTTGAAGTTTTGTCTTTAGAAAATGACCAAAGGATCCGCAGAGCACCTTCTGCGGATCTATTATTAAAGGCTCTGCGGATCCTCTACAGCTCTGCGGAATTGCGTGGAATGGAGTGTTATGCGGATTACAGGGGTAAATTTGTAAATTCAAAAAAATACCCTCCTTTACGTTACACAGTTCCGCAGAAGGAGATTGCAACAGTAGATTCGCATAACACTCGATTCCTGGACGTCGAACGGAAAATGTCTCGCCTTCCTGGAGCAGCTGCAGTCTGATGTCTTATCCGATGGATATGGAACTCAAGTAATATTTCAAATTTTTTTCCTAATCTTTGTATAAACTCGGAAGTAGAAATTGATTATATGAATTGGACTCTAGTCGAAGAATTAAGAAATTGTTTTTTCCAGTGGTTTTCGTCAAGAACAGATCCGCAGAGGCCCTCTGCTCAAGAACAGATCCGCAGAGGAGCCCTCTGCGGAACGATAAACCCCACTGCGAAATTATTAATTTTTTTTCGATTCTCTATAATTGTTATCTCTTAAAATGGATTATTATCTCTTAAAATGGACCATTGAATATTTAGATCATTTTATGTTGATTATATGCATATTAAAATCAATTTCCAATTATTTATGTAATTTAAAAAAAAAAACATTGAAAATTTATATAATTATTATTAAAATGGACCATTTATGTAAAACGTCTAATATAAGTCTATATATGGGACCATTTCTGTAAAATTATGTAAATTTGTTATAAAAACGTTATTTTTGTTGCATAAAATTGTTAAAGAACAATATATAAGTACAATGCTATAAAAATAAAAGTATAATGCTATGTAAAGTGAGTTTTCAGTATTATTTTTTTAATTTTGGCATATATGTTTAATCTTTTGCAACATAGTTTGCGTGGATGGCCTGCAGAATGTACATTTAGAGGGGGCGTTTGGGATTGTGTTGAAAAAGTACATTACAAAACTAAATAGTAGGCGACTTGAATTATTTCGAGAGACAGCTTTTGGGATCTTCATTGGTATGCCCACACCGAATGGTGACCTGATGCTCTGTCATTTGATGATGTTGCATGAGGTTCGTGATATAGAGGTAGCCAGGGCTAGGAGGTTTTGGTTCGAGTTACAAGGCAAGGTGGTTGAATATGGTGAAACAGAATTTTGTTTGATTAGCGGTTTGAGATTTGGACCGTATGTTGATATAATAAATACAAAAGTCAGCAGAAGTTCAACATTAAGGAATCGGTTGTTCCCTAATGTGAGAGATGAAGATTTACAGCTGAAAGATTTAGAAGACTACGTAAAAGGGCCAGCATTCTCGACGTGTAGCGATGAGGATGCGGTAATGGTTATGCAAATGATATTTTTGTTGAGGGGTCTCATAGGACGAGACGACAATACATGCATTCCATCGGCAGTGTATGAGCTAGCCGATAGTCAATATAATTGGAACATGTATTAAATTTATTATTTATTATTTATTATTTATTTATAAATACTTTATGATTTATATTAAGTATAATGAGTACGATAGGTTTGCATGGGGTACGTATTTGTGAAGGTATAGTGAAACACAATTACGATTATGGTTTGGTAAAATCTCTAGATATTTACGAGATAATGAGGGTGAGGGTTACATGAAGACGATGAAGTATACAGTTTTAGGTTTTCAGTTTCCGTTTAAGGTTAGTTTTAGGTGCAGTTACTTATATTTTTTAAGTGCTTATAAGTTTGGACAAAGCATAATTTTTTGTCGTAATAATAGGTATGGATTTTGGAGGCATTTCCTGAAGCTTTGAGGTTTGCGCATCACACAGAAAATGAAATTCCAAGAATGAGGGCATGGAGAATAAAAACACAATTGTCTTGCGAGCAATGTTTACGTATATTAGACGTTTCAGTGGTATAGTTATACATTCCTTATATTAATTATATATAGTTAAAAATTACAACAATTTTATATACTTAAATTTAATTTATTAATTTTGCAGGAAAATAACATCCCACGTGATTTTGAACCAACGCCTGTTGAGATCCATTTGCCATTCTTTGTGCGTTATGTAAGTTGGACTCTAGACAAAGTGCAGTCGCCACCGCAACAACAGAGTCCTCCTAAGAAGCGGTCTCCATCACCGCAACTAATGAGTCCTCCTATGCAGCAGTCTCCATCACCTCACCCGTCTCAGTTTCAGGGAGCAGATTACACCTCAGCCTCTCATTTTCAGGAAACATACCACGGACCTGTAGAAGACAGTAAAATAGACAAGTTATTTGGCGTTGTTAATGAACTGAAAACCACAATCGAGCACTTTGGGAATAGAATGGATAATTGGGAAAAAGATAAACAATTTGGTGTGAACGATATGGAAAATGTGGATGCGGGGGAAGCATTTTTTGGTGGTTTGGATCCCGAATCAGACCATACGTATGTGCAGACGCCACCGCTTGTTGTTGAAGTTGATGATAACACAGTTACACCGTTTAAAGGGCGGATAAAAATGAAATCGAAATTTTGTAGGGAGCCTTACACATATGTATAAAATTAAGTAATTTCTATTTATATAGTATATAATTAACATATTGATTTTGTAGGTTCCGTCGACGGAACCATTGAAGAACAGAAAAGGGAAAAATCGCAGAAGGAAAATAATGTAGCAAAAATACCATTACTATTGGACAATTATGCAGATTGTGATGATGAATTTTGGAAATTGTGGGGAAAGAAGATGGGGGCGGTATTTGTGGAGCATAGACTTTTAAGAGGTATTGACATGAATTGGGAATTTTGGTCTAGTTTACTTGGTATTGGCTCTGGATGGTTTCTCTTTGAGGTAACACACATCCCTTATTTTATATTACAAAAAGTGTTAGATAATTAATTGTTCAAAATGAATTTTTTTTTCTAACACGCAGCATTTGGTTATCTGGTCGTCCCTGCTCAAGGAAATAAGTCCGTCGAATGGTAGGTGGACGATTATTAACCCTGAAGGCACGATTTTGGAACCTGGGAAACAACATTATTTGAGGCGTATAGCAGCCGGAATGGTTGATGGACCACATTGGACGGATATTGATCGGGTAAGTATATATATATATATATATATATATATATATATATATATATATATATACACATACATACATACATTAAAATATGTATATATCTAATAACTTATCATTTTTTTGAAGGTTTTAATTCCAATCAACATACCACAACTGCATTGGTATTTGGCTGATTTGGATCTCCTTACATGGAAAGTGAGCATATATGATTCAGCTGAATGGTGTGGTTTCTTTAAAAAATATGCGGGTGACGGTAGTTTCAAATCGTTGGGAGATAGTATATTAAGTGAACTAGACCACATATCATATTGGGCCCATTTTCCCAATAGACAGAAACCTACTGATGTGAAATTCGTTAAAGCTAAACATGTGCCGCATCAGGAAAAAGTAGAAGAAGGAGAAAGAGGAGATTGTGGAGTTTTTGTGTGCATGTTCATGGAAATGCTTGCATCGAGTGTACCAGTGGAGACACGTCAATCACCTAGAGATACGGGATTTACTTACCGTAATAGGATGACATAAATTATTTGGAATAGTAGATTTTGATTGTGTTATTTGGAATAGTATACTTTGATTGTGTTATTTGGAATAGTAGATTTTGATTGTGTTATTTACATACAACTACACCTATTAAAACAAAACAAACATGAGATACCCAACAATTAGAACAACTACCAACAACTTGTACATACGTATGCTCTTCTTGGAATCACACATCCCCTTCTCCATGCTTGCCACTAGACTCTTCTCCTTACTCAGGAGAAACTCCAACTCAACATTCTTAGTCCTCAAGTTTTTTATGACACCAAGATCCTCTTTGGAATCCAACTGTTGCTTCATGGAATAGATGAGGTTTTTGTAGTAACCATCTTCGAGTGCAACATCTTTCCATTCAAAGTAATCACATTTCCTCGGTCTTGTCTGTATCAAACCCACATGAATAAAACATCAAAACACAATGACTAATCACCCAAGATGTATTTTAAACAATCGCGATCGTACATGTATTTTTAGAAATGAAGCTTACCAAGCTGTTGTTTCAGTTCCAAAAACGTCTGTCGGGGTTAGTGAGTTTCCAACATGTTCGTTCCTTAGCTGGAACATTGTAATCACACTTGTTAACATTGTCTTTAACAAACACACGAGCAACTTGGAGGCGGTTTCTTGCATTGGACGAGCTCATAGACATTGTGTTGAAGAATCGAAGGGGTAAGAAAGAAATGAATGAGGTCCAAATCGGGGTTTTTGACACATCACTTAACCACATAAGAACTGTTTTCTGTGGATCATTGCACACCTCTGCGGATCAGTGTACACCTCTGCGGATCTATGCACACCTCTAAGGAGCAGTATACACCTTTGCGGATCAGTGTACACCTCTGCATGCATAACTGTTAGGGAATACGCAGAACTATTAGGGAATAAAAAAAATGACTGACAACCAGCTCTGCGGATTACCAAACAACTTTGCGGAATAAGTAATATAAAATCACTTTACCAATTAACCCTCATATTTTCCGTCATAATGGCTTCCATACCATGGAGCGCTGAGGATAACCTCCGTTTAACTCGTGCATATATTAATATCCACGAGACCACCAGGGTGAATGATCCAAGTTATTGGACCCGTTTAACTTATGCCTTCAACGCTGACCCTCAAACTGCCCCAGAAAACTACCGCAACACCGTTGACATCACAGCAAAATGGTATGAATTAAAAACAAAAGTCTTGGTTTTCAACAATCTTTATACCAAAATTGATGACGCACTTCCGAATGAAGATGAGGAAGTCATCCTGGACGCGGTGAAAGCGGAATACATATCCATTAGTGACGGGTTAGAATTCGAGTTTGAAGGCCCTTAGAATCTCTTAAAAGATCTCCCGTATTTTTAATTTGTATTGCGTTTGTAGAAGGATATTTTAATGTAGTTTGTTTTTATTAGGTTATTTATATGCACCGGTTTGTATTACGTTATTTATATGTATTTGGTTTGTATTAGGTTATTTACGAAACCAATTGAGTTAACTTCTACTTTATTCCATAGAACATAAAATACAAAACTGTACAAATATATGGAAAACATACATCAGTAGCAAACATATTACATAAAACATTTCACATAAAAACCCCTTCTACATGAAATACTGGTGGTTCTTAACTAGATTCCAAGCGTCCACATACTCGAAGTCTTTTCCCTCATGCTCGAAAACGTAATGATCTAAAATCATTTCTACGAGAGCTTCCTCGTTTGAGTAATAATAATTACTACTATTTTTAAGATGATGATACCATCGATTGAACCATGTGATTTCGTTCTTTAACTCCATCCACTTACTAAGAATATCTACTTGTACCCGATATTCTCCTTGTCCAAATGAGAGGTTGAACATACCTGTTATGCGGGTCCATTCATCACCTCCAAGGTAATCAGGGGTAACCATTGTTGTTACACCTTCAAAAATGTTCAAACAACATCGTATTATAACCATCACCTCTCTTGTCGTCCATGGACGTGGAGTATCGGACGACGATGTTGCATTCGTAGAAGTTGGTGCATTGGAGGCCATTTCTATATTTTTCAATACCGGGGTGAGTTGATACAATATTTAACCGGTATGACAATTTATACACTGATCCGCTGATAACAGTTCTGTGGATTCTCAAACAGTTTTGTGGACTAATATTAAACATAAGTTAATTATTTTTAACCTTTTATGTCAAATTATTTACATAATCACATAAGGTATTAGTGTATTTAAAAAAAATTAATATTAATAAACGAAAATGAACGCAAAAAAAAATGAAAAAAAAAATAAAAAAATCAAAAAACAAAGATTCCGCAGAGCTGTAGAAGATCCGCAAAGCCTTTAATGGATCCGCAGATGGTGCTCTGCGGATCCTTTGGTCATTTTCCAAAATATGTATTCCTTGGTTATTTTCTTCAAACCAACCCGCCTTTTTGGTTATTTCTCGAATTTTGTCTTATAAATTATCAAATTCTTCTATTTTTAATTAATCATTTATTGTAACATTAATTTCTTTTTTCTCTATTGGTTCATCAATAAATTACATATATTTGTATATTAATATAGTAAGAACACAAACAATAAAAAAGGAAAAAAAAACAACAAATTATGTTAATCTCATAAATCACTTTCCAAATTTAAGGAAAACTAGAGAGATTATTTATTTTAGTCATGATTTTTGTAGGTAATAAATCACTTTCCAAATTTAAGCCGATCGTAACAATCGTTTCCTTCTTGAGTCCCGCGTGCACGACCTCGAGCAAAACCCTCGAGACCTCAAAACCAACAAACACATCTAGGTCTGCACCATTCAACCCAAACTGATATCGCCACTGGGGCCCAAAACAATTACCAGACCCATCATCATGCCTGAGCAACCATAACCAAAAGATCGACAGATACGGAACCACTGCCACGAATCATGTCATCAAACCATGCTATCTCTCCCGACCAGCCCTTAGAATTCCCGAAACTCTCCTCGATTCGAGTATGGATCCTGTGCTTCCAGTAGTATGGGCCCAATACTACCTTCCACACATATCCATACTTTCCTCAAGAATCATCTCGGGTCCTCTAAGACCTACACATAATAATACTCCCAAAACCTGCTTAACATCGAAATAACCGCACTAAAATACTTCCTAGGCTCTCCTAGGATTCCCCCCACCTCCCCTGCCATCAGCTGCTGAAGAACACCTACTAATGTCAGCTAACCACTTCATGAATACAATTACATGCAACAGAGCTTAAATAATCTTTCGACTAAAGGACTCAACTCTACAACGGTTGGACTCAGACAAGAGCTGCGCAATAGGTCCAAGTCATTCATTCTAAGATTATTTAACCTTCATAGCATGTAATTTAATATATTAATTTGATGGTTAACTCACATCAATATGGGTCCCACAAAGCACAAAACAAGCAACATTTGAGCAGAGGAGCCGACTGGCTAATCATTCCTCATGTCCTCCATCTCTCAAGAGTGGCTAATCATTCCTCACGCTGACCCGCTATGAACTGCACCCACTCATGAAACTTCCACCAACCCTGCATCCACTCGTGCATGCTAATCATACATAACGCTGGATCCCATAGACAATCGAATACTTGAGTCTACTCTAAGCCCTTAATCAGACAAGAACAGGAAGTAAAGCTAAATCAAACATTCTCAGGCTATAGAATCTTTGTTATGTACAACTATGATGCACACACTAAGTGACCATAGTAGTCATGTCAATTTCATATAAGAAAGAACCCTAGGCTATCATGCATCATATAATCAGACAATTCTATCATGCAATTCCTAAAGATCCTTAGCCTGTCACTAGCATGCAGTTCTAACATATCATAATATCAAATAACAGTATGGTAATTTGGGGTCTACTTACTAGCTCCGACTGATCGTACACATCACATCCTTTCTTGATTATTTTGAAAACAATTTTGAAAAATCATTTTTTAAAACCTTTGCACTTCCTTAGTTTGAGACTGGATTCACACAGGTGTTCTTCCAATTCACTCAAACCAAGGGTCTGATACCAACTTGTAACATCCATAAAAATCACAAGAAATTTAAACTTTTCAAAACAACCAATTTACTAAAAGAAGTGTTTACAAAACCATTGTTTCCAAAACATTATTTAAAATCAGAGTCTCCCAAGATCCAGTCAGCCGTAAAACCAAGGATGTGTACGGTCACACCTTCGCCTTGCCACAATCATCTGATGCACATGAAACAATAAACTAAAACTGTAAATACGAAGCTTAGTAAGTTTCCTCAAAGTACCACCACATACAACATATCCAACATAACATGCATAACCGAGCCTTCAGCCTGACTGGACCGCCTCGCAGGGCCTTCAGCCTATCTGGACTACTCCCGAGCCTTTGGCACGACTAGACCGCCTCGCAGGGCCTACAACCTATCCGGACCGCTTTGCCGGGCCTTTGGCCTGACTGACCGCCTCGCATGGCCTACAGTCTATCCGGACCGCCCTGGGTATCTTGGCCTTCAGCACAAGGCAGGTCCGCCTCAACCCAACCAACCACAACATGTCGACATACGCATAACAAATAAACATATAAATAAACATCAGACAACATGCAGATTTAAAGATCACTACCGCATGCTAACATTCCATATACCAGGATACTGATCTAACAGATCACTACATCATATCAACATCCTATATACAAAGATACAGATCTAACAGATTACTACATCATAGCAACTTACGGTAAAACAAGATATCAATCCAAAGGGCCGGTCTTGGTGCCTTCGACCCGTAAGTACAGTGAGGAAAAATCACCTCTACTGATGATAACTGAAACCACACTCGATCCGCGGCGAACACTGCTCCTCACGCTAAACCAAAACTAGAAACAAGCCCAATCAATAATTAGGGTTTAACCCAAACCCATGGTGTAATCCATTCCTCATCATGATGATGGAAAAAGACCGTTTTGCCCTTTATATACAAACCCAACTAAACTAAGCCCAAAACCCCTAATAGCCCAAGGCCCAAAATCAATCCATTATGCTTCTACTAAGAACACCTGACGTTCCACCCTATGACGCCTGGCGTCCGAACGTTGGGCATTCCCATGCAAACGCCTGGCGTTTGCTCGCTGTTTACCAAGTTCCAAACAATTGTCTTAATAGCTTAGGATCTCATGTCCAAACTTCAAATCTAATCATAATGGAACGTCTAAAGCCATAAAGTTGCAAACTTTATGGCCATGCATGGCTACAATGAGCCCGACACCAAGATCCTAACTCAAAATCAACTCTAAGCCTCCAAAACCCTTGCATGGAAGATTATGAAGACCCAAGATTGCATTTTTATGATTCTAGACTCACTATTATGCTTGAAAGGACAGTCCAAACTGTTGGGTTTTGATACGAAATATAAGTTTGTTTTTCACAAAAACCGGCAACAGAAGACTTTAAAAATGACAAGTTTATTTTTAGTTCATAACAAAACCAAACCATCATGGATCAATTTATAGAGGTTAGAATGAAGTAAAAACAACCATAGGATGTTTTAGAGATAACCTTTGAAGCCTTTGAACCCACTTGGTTTTGGGGTGTTGACGAAGATGTAAAGATCAAAGAACATGATCTTCTCTACAAGTATCCACC